ACCTGGCACCACCCTGGGGACACCGAGGGGGTGGTGACACTGTCACCGCAGTGCCAGGAGCTCCCTCGGGACAGACACGGGGGGTGCTGGGTGCCAGCCCTGCCCGTGTCACCGGCCAGCGGGACACTGTCCCCTCCGAGCCAGCCGTGGGGACACCTCCGCTGTGTCCCCCCTGCCCGCGCTTTGGTGACACCTCCCGTGGCGCGGGGGGTGTGTGACGGGCTGTGACGGGCGTGTGCCCCCCCCAGGAGTGTCGCCGGTGTCGCCGATCCGCGTGTACACGCCGCGGGAGGTGTTCGGCACCGTGGGCTCGCGGGTCACCCTGTCCTGCAGCTTCTGGTCCAGCGAGTGGATCTCCGAGGACATTTCCATCACCTGGCACTTCCAGGCCGAGGGCTCCCGCGACAGCATCTCCGTGAGTGTCCCCAGCTGTCCCCAACTGTCCCCAGCGTGTTCCCGACGTCCCCAGTGAGCGCCGTGTCCCAGCTCCAGCCCCAGAGCACTGTCCCTTCCCTGCGGGTGACACCGTGTCCCCTCACGCTCTGGTGACACCGGGGTGTCCCCAACGTGTCCCCAGCCCCCGCCGTGTCCCAGCCCCAGAGCACTGTCCCTTCCCTGAGGGTGACACCGTGTCCCCTCACGCTCTGGTGACACCGAGGTGTCCCCAGCGTGCCCCCAGCCCCAGCAGGACGGTCCCTTCCCTGCGGGTGACACCGTGTCCCCTCACACTCTGGTGACACCGGGGTGTCCCCATGGCGTTCCCTTGTCCCAGTGCCCACCAGATCTCAGTGCCAGTTGTGCCCCCCGTGCGCTGTGGTGACACTGGAGTGTCCCCGTGATGTCCCCAACATGTCCCCAGCCCCAGTACCCGTCATGTCCCAGCCCCAGCCCGATCAGGGCAGTCCCTTCCCTACGGGTGACACCGTGTCCCTTTGTGCTGTGGTGACACTGGGGTGTCCCCAACGCGTCCCCACAGTGTCCCCAACCCCGGTGCCCGCCGTGTCCCAGCTCCAGCCCCAGCAGGACGGTCCCTTCCCTGCGGGTGACACCGTGTCCCCCTCACACTCTGGTGACACTGGGGTGTCCCCAACGTGTCCCCAGTCCCAGCCCCAGCAGGACGGTCCCTTCCCTGCGGGTGACACGGTGTCCCCCACACCGCGGTGGCACCCTGGGGACACCTCCACGAGCATCCCCAGCGCTCCCGTGGCAGCCCCTTCGTGACGCCCCCTCTCCGGGGCGGGACGGGGCGGGGGTGGGGTCACCCTGCCACCCTCCCCCCCCCCCTCCCCAGCGCGATGTCACCGCTGTCGCTGTCCCCCGGGCAGATCTTCCACTACGCCAAGGGCCAGCCCTACATCGATGACGTCGGGAGCTTCAAGGAGCGCATGGAATGGGTCGGGAACCCCCGGCGCAAGGACGGATCCATCGCCATCCACAACCTGGAGCCCACCGACAACGGCACCTTCACCTGCGACGTCAAGAACCCCCCGGACATCGTGGGCAAGTCCTCGCAGGTCACCCTCTACGTCCTCGAGAAAGGTACGGGGCCAACGGGGGGCCCTCCCGGCCCCGCTGGCAGCGGGGGGACACGGTGACAATGTCCCTTCCCTGCCACCCTGACTGTGGGGGGACACGGTGCCACTGTCCCCGCAATGCCCACCCACTGGCGGGTGTGACACGATGCCCCTGTCCCCTCCCCGCTGCCGAGGGTGACCCGGTGCCAGTGCCCCTTCTCCAGTGCCGGGGGTGACTCGGTGCCAATGTCCCTTCTCCACTGCCGGGGGTGACCCTGTGCCACTGTCCCCTGCCCACTGCCGGGGGTGACACGGTACCACTGTCCCCGCAGTGCCCACCCTCTGCTAGAGGGTGACACGGTGCCACTGTCCCCTGCCCGCTGCTTGGGGTGACACGGTACCACTGTCCCCTGCCCGCTGCCGGGGGTGACGTGGTGCCGGTGTCCCCTGCCCGCTGCCGAGGGGTGACCCGGTGCCCGTGTCCCTTCTCCAGTGCCGGGGGTGACCCTGTGCCACTGTCCCCTGCCCGCTGCTTGGTGTGACCCGGTGCCACTGTCCCCTGCCCACTGCCGGGTGTGACACGGTGCCACTGTCCCCTGCCCGCTGCCGAGGGTGACACGGTGCCCCTGTCCCCGCAGTGCCCACCCGCTACGGGGTCGTGCTGGGCTCGGTGATCGGCGGGGGGCTGCTCCTGGTGGCCGTGCTGGTGGCCCTGGGCTATGCCATCCGCTTCTGCTGGCTGCGGCGCCGGGCGGTCCTGCAGCGGCGTCTGAGGTGAGCCCCGACCCCCCCC